AAGAACCTGCCACTGAATCTTTTCAGTGCACTTATGATAGGCAAAGACAAAAAGCCAAGGGTCTTTGAATCCTAATTCTTTTCTTCGAGTGAAAAACCGCTCTTTACTACCAAGCAGTAGATGCCAACGCTTGCAGACAGCTTTGCTTGCTTTGTGGCTCTGGACTGGAAGCCGAAGGAGACAGTTAAGTGCAACATCATCAGGAAGGCCCGGAATGAGGGGTTCTCCCCCATGAGATAACTCTAAGTCTGGGGAAGGATTCAACAAAGAAGATTGGATAACCGCTAACCTAAACTTTGGGGATAATGTAATTTGAGAATCCCCTAGCTTGTGTACGGGTGCCTGCTGGGAGGACAATCGAACCCGTTGCATCTTTCTCCTTTTGAGCAAAGTATATCAAGGCACTTCAAAAAAAAATGAGGAGGCCCTTACTTCAAATGCAATTTATTGCCTGTGATAGTCTTTACTAAGAAAACTAACATAATCCAATCCCAATCCAGAGAATTCCGAATCCTCAAGTAAGCTTTCACAGTTTTTGTGCATATAAAAGGAATCCCAAAATCCAAATTTACATAAAAGTAGAGCACCAAACCTTTTACAGGATCAGAAAACGAACATACAAATAAACGACCATCTAAACATCCAAACTTAACTCACATGTATTAACAGAAAAAAATAAGCTTTTCTTCACTTTATATACACCATAACCACTTGGCCAATCAAGACAGCAAATTCAAAATCTAAAGCTATGAAATTTCTTCCTACTGGTGAGAGGAACAGAAAACACCCAAAATTCACAAGTTCATAAAACAATACCTCAGAAGCAGCGCAAAATCTAAGCTCTTTGTCCTCTATCGTGAAAAAATCCAACCGCCGACAAAAACCCAGTTCGAAAATCACATATCAATGGACTTTTTCTGGCCTTATCAGCTTGAATATCCATCAAACACTGAACCCAGAACGTAAATAAGCTGTACAACTTATTAACAAAACCAACATAGCAGGGACAAGACGAAGGAGAAATAAACTTGCAACAACAATAACTTACAACCAGAAAAAGCTGAGATATTGTTATTAAAGATGGTGACTTTATGAGATTTATAGAGGTCTGGTTATTGCATCCCAATAGAGAGGGTCACCCATCAGGCTATTCTTCCTCATAAATAAGATTTTTTTTATTTTGTGGCAAACATGGTTCTTTGATTCTAGATTAAGCAAAAACTACGCGCCATGAGCGAGTCTTAGGAGGAGAGAGTGCTCAGCAAAGAAGCAGAAGCTGGACGGTGATTCGCACGCACCTTGATGAAGGTGTAGCAAGTTGTGACTCTTACTTGGAAGATTCAAAAGGAAGATTGACTCTAGGCTTAGGCAAGCCTCTTAGCTGAAAAGTGTTATGTTTAATCCAGAATTTTATTTTATGTTCAAGTTCAACTCCAGACGTTGTTACCACTTGCACGGTTAATTTAACTATACTTCTTTTTTCGTAGTTACTTAATTTATAACGTTATTAATGTGGTTTCATTTTGTTGTACATTTTAACTAGAATTTGGTTGTTTCTATGTGTAACATAGAATTTTCACATACGTCTTTTTCAGTTCGTCCTAAGATTTTTAAATAAGGTGGGCTAAATTTACCTTATATACACCCCGGAGAGTGGAACATAAAGGTACAGCTACTGCAGCTTACCAATTCGTTCTTTTATTTATTTAACTTTTTTCACTTAAAAGGGATTATGTGTGAAGAGGGTTACCAGTTAAAGGAAAATTAGCAATAGACTGTTTATAATATATATTTATAAAGAAGTTGGCAGTAGACTAAAAAAGTAACAATAATATAGAAATACTTTTCATTTTAGAGAGAACTTTACAGAGATGTCCTACACAAGAATGTCCTGGAATAATCTAATAGAATTCAATTCATTAGTTTGTCTCATCTTCTTTTTCTTGAGTGTATTGTTAGATGAGCGATGAACGAGTCTTTGGATTTGAGGTGGCATGATTATCATTAATAGACCGTCCCTGGGTTCTTCGCTGGTCGGTGAATATGATGTTCCTCTTATAATCAAAGTTCTGATACTATACTAGACAATCATTAACGGAAAAATGTATGAGTTGTTGAGAAACAAATCAACCTTGTGTATTAAACTAGTAATATGTGCGTAAAATCGAATGAAATCTCAACTTTCTATCTTATAAAATTCCCATATATATATATTCTCCTTTACTAGGAACAAAATAATTTTGATCTAGAAAACTGAACCTTGGAGTGGAGGTAATTCAGACGGATAAAAAAGAAAGATACCATTATTCTCGTTTAACAAAAAAAAGTATTTTTTTAAAAAAGGGAAAAGGGCTGTCTCATCTCATTAACCAGAAAGAGATGGATTGGTGGTCTAAATTTAGAGATACGTTTAGTATTTACTCTTTAGAGAATAGAGAGAGAGAGAGAGAGAGAGCGACGATATTGAAAAGGAAGGAAAGGCAAGTGGGAATCAAACCGAATCCACACAATATTTGCTTGCTCAAAACCTACCCCCTCCACGGTACCTCATCCTATCATCCCAATAAGATCTCTTATAATGAGTTTGGTTTGGTCCAAATCAAATCAAATCAAATCAAATAATCAAATAATCAAATGATATTGGATGGAGGGGTGATGACCATGAAACGAGCATGGCTTTTTGACCCCCCCAATCCCATTGAAGTCCAACCAATTTACGTCACTGCATTTGCTGCTTGTAGGCATGTCATTTTCGCACCTGCAACAGATCATAGTGCTATTCTTATTCTTGTTGTATTAGAATTGGATCTTCCCTTTTGTGTTTCTCAGCTCTAAGTTTTGGCAAAACATGCAAAGTTTGCAGAAATTCAAGAAAACGTAACTTGGGATTGTCTGCTTATTTCAGTAAGATGACAGAGGAAGATCCAATCTGCCAAAATTTACTTGCCAGTGCAGTAACTAAGAAAGAAGGCTGAGAGAAAAAGTAAAACCAAATATACTTACCAGTGCAGTAATAAATTTGCTGATAGGGGTTGGCCCTTTTTTTTTTTTGTGGTTACACAATTCATTCAATTACCATAAAAAGAAATGTAAACCAAACTGAATTTTTAACAGATGAGTAAATCTGGAACAGTTATGACCATTAACAGATGAGTAAAATTTCCTACCTGAATTTTCTTATGTTATTTTCTTAAATCTTATTTCTTCCCACCTCAAAAGGCATGCACCTGTCAAAACGAGGTGGCAAATGAATGTAAATCCTCTTCTACAATTCCATAACAAGGTTGGTGAAAACTTGATTACATTCTTGCCGTATTGGGCCACATAGGACAAACAAGGATGTATTTCCAATAAGAATCTAGAGGAGGCATTACCTTGACGAATGATTCCAACTGCTCGTAAATATCCTTGATCATGAATGATCTTCATAAAAACAGAACAATTTCCAATCGACAAAGAAAGAAAGAAAAGAAAAGAAGCAAGAAGTTTTCTGTGATGGTTCCATAAAAATAATGCTAGTAAGCCTAACAAGATCGTTTAAATGAAACATGGAAACAGCAACACACATTTTAATTAAATACTCAAGTAATAGAATTCTGATAGTCTGAGCACAGCTAACAATGCTTAATGTGGTCGAACTTTTTACTGCTCAAATATTCAAGCACAATAAACAGAAAACCAAAAGAAAGAGTAAACGAATTAAAGCTGGTACCAAATGCCTCTCCAGGGCAAGCTGCTTTTTAACTAGTAAGGAGCCGTTGCTATCACTGACCCAAAAACTGAGGAAATAAGACCATTATGTCAAAAGAACAATGATACGAAAGAGAGATGAATACAAACTTGACAAAATAACTCAACAGCGTCCATACCATAGAATTCTCTGTGGGCATGCGACTGCAAAAGGTTTAAGAATTAACAATAACAAGCATTTCTGAGAAAGCAAGGAACATATACAGGTTACCAATACGGCGGTACTTTACTCCACTGTATAACCTTATTAGAGATAACAGAAATGAACTTGTTGCATACAACTCATGTAAGATAAATCAGAAAATTCTATGCATAATAGAATATATTAAAGAAAGAGGGAACCCAATACTTGAAAACCTTGTAGGATACAGACTTAAACTGTATTGGACAACAATAATCCAAGACGCTCTTAAGGCCTAACCAAGTTTGAATTGGATCAATAACTTAACCATTATTATTAAACCAAAATTCAAGGCGCACAATTAGTTATAAACCAAAGAGGCAGAGTCACAACAACCATATCCGTCTATTTGCCTAAAAAACATTTATTTCAATATAAGAACTATTTGCAAGGAAATATAACTGAAAACAATGCTTCCCTGCTTTAATTGACACCTTTAATGTTAATTAATGGCAATTTCAAGGATAAAAAGGAGTACAGAATTAAATTATTGGCATTGTTTAAGAACAGAAAGGCAACGATAGATTCAGTAAAAATATGAAGTCATTAATGAATAAATAAATAAAATTTTCTTTTCTTTTGAGAGAGAGAGAGAGAGAGAGAGAGAGAGAGAGAGAGAGAGAGAGAGAGAGAGAGAGAGAGAGAGAGAGAGAGAGAGAGAGAGAGAGAGAGAGAGAGAGAGAGAGAGAGAGAGAGAGAGAGAGAGAGAGAGAGAGAGAGAGAGAGAGAGAGAGAGAGAGAGAGAGAGAGAGAGAGAGAGAGAGAGAGAGAGAGAGAGAGAGAGAGAGAGAGAGAGAGAGAGAGAGAGAGAGAGAGAGAGAGAGAGAGAGAGAGAGAGAGAGAGAGAGAGAGAGAGAGAGAGAGAGAGAGAGAGAGAGAGAGAGAGAGAGAGAGAGAGAGAGAGAGAGAGAGAGAGAGAGAGAGAGAGAGAGAGAGAGAGAGAGAGAGAGAGAGAGAGAGAGAGAGAGAGAGAGAGAGAGAGAGAGAGAGAGAGAGAGAGAGAGAGAGAGAGAGAGAGAGAGAGAGAGAGAGAGAGAGAGAGAGAGAGAGAGAGAGAGAGAGAGAGAGATTTTGAGAGAGAGAGAGAGAGAGAGAGAGAGAGAGAGAGAGAGAGAGAGAGAGGAGGGAGAGTTCATTCCTTCTATCAAACCCATGTATATGTAATATATTTACTGCTAGAAAACACATTGTATAAACAAAGCAGTTATAAGGCTACAAATATAGAGATGGATCTAGATTTATTTGGCCTTCCTCTTTTGCATAAAATGACATACATGACCCAGAAAGGAGTTCTCCTCATCTTAAAAGAAATTTAAGCTCTCTCTTCCGAGGCTTATCTGTTTCCATTGTCACTTGGAGTTCTGTATAAATAAGACCAGTATGAAGCTACAGATGTAGAGAGAGATCGAGATCCGTTTGGCCTTCCTCTTCTTCCGCATTAGAAGATATTCCTGCCTTGGAAAAGCAGTTCTCCACATCTTTAAAAAGCAGAAGCTCTCTCTTTGGAGGCTTATCGGTTTCCATTGACAACTCGGAGTTGATCTTAGGCCTTTTCCATTGACAATTCATCATCTCAGCACTTCCTCCAGCTTCACCTAAGCAGTGCCTCTTACCTCCTTTAGAGGTTAAGAGAATTAGTGTCTCATACTGACCAATTTCACCTTGGTCTGAAGATTGACTGGGATGTGGAGGCTTATCTGTTTCCATCAACAACTCAGAGTTTTTCTTAGGCCTTTTTGATGGATTCATTATCTCAGCAGCACTTCCTCCGGCTCCACCTAAGCAGTGCTTCTTGCGACCTTTAGAGGTTGAGACAGTTTGTGTCTTATACCGACCAATTTCACCTTGGCCTGAAGATTCACTGGGATGTGGAGGCAAGGAACCAAATGTAATAGGTTCCTTGAAGCAAAGTGACTGTTTTGAGCTGAGACCTGGATGAAGATCAGTTACAGCATTCACAGGATATGGAATCATACCACAGTTGTGATCCTGAAAGTATGGCATGGCATTTGCAGAAAAGGATGGCATACCATCCCTAAAAGATCGAAATTGATCAGTATTAAACTGACAAACTCCATTTGAGACCAAACAGAATGGAGGATCCAAAGAAACACTAATTGGTACCATGCTACCCGAGGGAGCAGGTGCTATGAAGGATAAAGGTTTAGAATTTTGGATTTCAGCATGACCACTACTAGATGAACATTTTGGAGGCATAGCGCTCATATTGTTCTCATAGAACCTGCTTATATTCACCCAGCTATTTTCATTTGAGTAGAGTCTCCTGGAGAAATCCAAAGGAGGGGTTACCTCACTGAAGAGAGGGCCTCCAGAAAAAATTTCAGGATGACGCATGCTGAAAGGTTGAGGACTATTGTTAGTAATGCTTACTGAGTTGCTGAAATGGCTAGGATAATTCCAGCTCCTCTTTGAGTTGATCTCTTCCTGATGAGCGCTAAGATGGCCCCCTAGACCCTGGTGATTTTTGAATACCTTTTTGCAATACAAGCATTGGACACCCATATGCTTCTCTTCCTTTCCTTTGTTAGGGGTCAAAAGGAAATTCATTGTTGGAGCAAACACGGAGACCCTTAATGAGGCCTTTCAGAAGAAGGAAAAGAAGAAGAAGATAAAAACTAGCAGGAGCAGAAGCACAAACAATGAAGCGATGAGGAAGAGTGCCTTGCTCCTTACCTCTATTGTATCAGTTTGCAGGGAAGCTACAGGACATAGTGGTTAAGAATAATAAATGGTAAATGACAATTCTCATAAAAACGCATTTGAGAAAAGAACACAAAGAATACAAACGGGAAAAAAAAAAGTTGCCACGAAAAGCTCATGCAGGAGAAACTTTAAAGCAATCCTATCAGCAAGAATCTGAATGAAGAAGAGCCATTAATGCTTTAAAAAATCAACAATGCATGAACACCTTGCAAAACAAATGTCATAGAACTACAGATAGTACACCTGCTATAACAAGGTCATGAAACAACCTGTCACTAACACCTTTTGCATCTGTTAGAGGATAATATTGGAAATTGCAAGTCGCAAAGAAACGTAGAATGAAAACAGGTGCCTCAGTGTCATATTCAATACTTGTAAAATGCAGGCATAGTTCTTTCTTTAATAGCCTGCAATTCCCAAGGATATCAGATAGTAACTCATTCCAGTTTTGAATGTGGATGTATAGTGAATAGAAACACAGGGGAGTGGTCACTCATATGCCTCTGACAAGGTTTAATAATGTGACACCAGAAATGCAGAGATCAATAGCAGTCAAGTACCCCTTAAGAGCAGAAGTTGATTAAGTCATCAATTTTGATAGTATTTGCTTGGCTATATCTGACAGCCCATAATCACCTTGTCTTAGTCCGCTGTAGTAAATTTGTGTTTAAATAACATTTTGCAAAGGAATATGTTTGAGTCCACTTCAGCTGTCTTGTATCATGTGTACCTTGCTTCACACATAATAAGCTTAGGACCTCCATATCTAGATTTCTGTTCCTAGGACCTTTCTTTGCCAGAAACAACACCAGGTACGGCCTATTTTGGTGTATGTAGATATATACATAAGTACTGTGTGTGCACATATATCTTAAGTCATTTAGAAGCTCACATACAACAGGATGCTGCAGTGTAAAAGCATCATTAGAGCTGAATTGGTCTTAACATCATAGAGTGCATAATCAACTCTTGGCTTACTTCTTTTTTTGCTTAAATCTCCTTATCATAACGTCAATGGTATGATAAGGGTATTATAACTATATAAGTACAAGTAAAACTATAGAGAATTGCCATTCATCAAACTTTGTAATTGTTAACAAACCAGCAGACAATAGAAATTTTCTAAAGTAAAACTTGTTGCCCAATATGAAAGACGTTTAATAACTAAACACTCAAATTAAACCTATAAGAACAAAATTGACACAACTGATAATCAAACTGCTAACATCCTAAGTAAGTCTAAGCAATTATAAAAATCCTCAAATATGGAATATTCATTTTCTCCTAATTTAAGGAGATTTTAGATCTGGCTTTTCTAATTATATCTACCTACAGTTTCCTTCTTTCTTTTCATTTTTCATTTTTGTTTTTTTTTTGGAAAGCCGGGTTGACTTTAAGTGACCAAAATACTCTTGAAACAAAAAAAAAAACATAAAAACACAAAAATAGAATAGAGAGACAAGACATACCTTCATACACCGCCATTCTTCACTGCTCAAGCAGGAAGCCAAAATAACATTTTTTTCACGTGGCACATGGTAAGCATCATACCCAATTGATGTACTGTTTCTTTTGAGGGTAAGCCTTTACCTATCACTTTGCTGCAATAAAACAGGCATTTTATCGCCGAAATGATGTACTGAGGATGTCAAAAGACTACTCAAAACCATAACAAGCCTGATTAATTGGGGTTTGAGTAGTTCTCGTCAATATCATTGATGACATCAAACAAAACAAAGACACACGTTTCAAAATACTGACCTTGAAACCATTTTTGGGTTGGATTCAAATTGTTTCAAGTAGCCTTTTCAAAGCCATTTCAAATGTTACAATGGTTTCGGGTTCTATACTTGAAACACTTTCAAGCTGGCTCAAAAGAGCTTTGATTAACGTACTTCAAAACCATGTTTGCATTCGTTGTTTCAGGCACATTGCTTGAAGATATTTCGAGCTGGTTTCCAACATTAATGTCAGTAAAGTGCATGAGATGATTACAACATTAGAAAAGATTACAATGCATTTTCTTTAGATAATAAATTACTAAAGTAACTTTAGGCTAAATCATATTTCAGTTCTAGGTAGCACACTCACTTTTGGAAATGATATGAAGAGTAATACGGTTCTTGTAGGTTTTACAGTAATGACCAGTTGCACCACATTTCCCACACTTCCGCGTAGACTGCTCTTCTCCAAGAGATTTAATTCCTTCCTTCTTGTACCCTTCGCATGACCGCCGTGTACAGGAAAATTCTTTTGGTGATCCCCTGATATCTTCTAATGCACATTGGCTAGCCATCCAAGCTTTCCTATAACTTATATTCACCCCAAGATCTTTCTGCAAATCCTCGACGATATCTTTTGGTTTGTATTGGCATGGAACACCCTCGTACTTCGACTTTAATACTGACCAATAAGCCACCAGCTCGCTTGTTGAAGACTGTGATGAATAGCATCTACTGAACAAGAGTGGCGACTATGATATCTTGTTATCATAAAATTCTCAGAGTCTGGAGACTTGCATGCATAGAGTTGTCATTCACACATTCAACTACAAATAGTTCTTTTGTGGACCTCTTCACTTTGAACTCAATTTTTTTTTTTCCAACGCAGCAAGGCCTAACTTCTTCTGTATCTCCCTCCACATTCAGTATCGCATTAACCCTTTTTCTGTGAGTTTAAGTGAATATGGAGCACAAGGTGGAGAATTAGGAGGATTGAGAAACACATCATCAAGCTGCATATTGTCACAAGGCACAACAAATTGCAAGCTGTCATGAAGCACATTATCAAATTGCAAGCTGGCACGAGGCACCTCATCAAATTGCAGGTTGTCATGAGGCACATCATCATGTCGCAGGTTGTTACGTTCCACATAAACTTCTATATTATCATGCGGCTTATCATTTTCCGAATCATCAGGGCTCAATCCATCACCACAATCCGAATTTGCTTGAGTCTCTGAAGTGAAGTCCACTGGCACTGGATCTGCATTGATTGCAATGGAATTTTGTTCTTCAGTTCAGTGTGCGGACCTCATGAATGAGATTTTTGGTAGTTTGAGTTGTAAGGCAGATTGGAACACGTTCAATACTCCCACTTCCAGAAACTAATACCCTACGTTCAACAGTAATGCACCAATGGAATTTTCCAGTCTCGTGCAAGACTCTAACAAATCAAAGCAGTCACATCACCATTATCTACTACCTCCACGGGATAGGTAAGAGTTTTCCACAATATACAGCCATTATTATAACTCCATTACTCATTTGCATCTACCCTGACAATATCATGCAGTCTATCCTGAACATCCTCATAAGTAACTTTTTCAGCAACTAATGCCTTCATTTTACCACCCTTATATAAAGAATTAACCCACTTCCCATCATAATTAATCAAAATTGTCAACTTAGTCATCTTCCTGAAAATAAACAATCCTTAAGAGTTAGGGACAAAAACAATTAGAAAAAATAAATTAACAAAATAGTTGCAAAACACATTTTTGAGAACTACTCTAAATGGTTTCTACTTTCTAGTAAGTACTCAAAACGGTATCTAGCAGCATTCATAAGACATTTAACAATTCTATGGTTTGACAGGCAACTAAATTATTAAAGGAAGTTCTAATGCAAGTAAAAGGCTTTTAAATCAATCTGAACCAGGATCAGACAGGTCAGTGACCCAGCTAGGCTAAGCCCATACACAGCAGATTTTCTCAAATACAGAACAAGTACAGTCATTCACTAACATAGAAAAGAAAGAAAAGAAAGGGGGGAGGCTTGGGAAGGAAGAAGAAATGAGGCAGAAAGGAAAAAAAGAAAGAAACGGCCAAGAAGGAAAGGAAGAAGAAAAGTCAATGGAGAGGAGAGGAAGGAAGGTAAAAAGAAAAGGAGAAAAATAAAAAAAATAAAAAAATAAAAAGGTCGTTTGGAGTGTGTGGCTTAATTATTTGTTTGACCAGAGAGATAAGATAATAAACCACCACATACTCACTTATTTGTTTTCTTTTTATTTATTTTTAGGTAAAAGAAAGCCTTAATTAAAATTAAATATTAAAATTTTATTAATTTCTCATGAATTAAAATTAAATATTAAAATAATTATTTTTAGTCTGACACAACACCAAACATAGGTCTTCATTATTTTTACAATCCAGTTTCTTAGTCCGACGCAGCACCAAACGTAGATCAGTACTTAATCCAGCTTAGTCCAATCCGAGCTAATTCACGACAGTCCCAGGATTTAGTCCAGTCCATGACAGTCCGCCGTACCAAACGACCCCTCTTAGATTATTGATGGGCAAATGTGACTTTTCAGTTAAGATTATTTGTAGCAATGATCCCTTAACTATACTCGGAGTTACATTTTGGTCACTCAATTAGGTGTTATGTTGCACCATTAATCCATACCGTTAGAGAGACTTGACGGTAGGACTAACGGTGCAACAGAACCCCTAATTGAGTGACCTCTGCAACTAATATTTGAGTTGAGTGACCAAAGTGTAACTTGGGGTATAATTGAGGGACCATTGCTGCGAATAATCCTAAAAAATAAAAAAGGCGCCAAGGCTTGCTGGGTTCTGTAAGTGGGTTCGGAAATGGAGATTGGGCCTTATAATCTCGGTTTGTGGGTCTGGGTGACCCGTTAATCACTTCTAAACTATATTTCAATATCCAACCAACAAAAAAACTATATTTCAATATTTTTATAAGAGAAAATTAATTTCTCTTGATTTTTTAAATTTATGTCTGCTGAGGGCCCCTTTGGAGATACATAAGAAATGGGCCCATATGGGGGAACTTATAAAATTACTCAACACACCCTCATTCTCACTAATATATACGAACTCAGTTTTGTTGGTTACATTGGAGGGGATCGGACCTAACTCATTACCCTATTCTTCCTCATCACTTGGACTAACCCCAAGTGCTTCAATCGACCTCAATTTGATCCCAAAATAAGTTGGGAAAACAATACCTTTAGACCAACTTTTATGTGTATTTTAGTTGCTTCTTGTATATTTGCTTCACGAGGTATCTAAAAAGCCTCTCAAATCACCAAAAACATGACCCATACAAACCAACCCAAAAATGTGCAACATGCCCTGTAATAATTAGCATATATTGTTTTTTATATATACAAGCTATAATTTACTTTAAACTACTAATCTAAATTATTAGAAGGGGGATTCGAACTCGGGTGCAGAATGGGAAACATATCCATTTTAACTAACTTGACTAAGACCATATTTGCAATTAGCATATATTGTTGGTGAGAGTGAGATTAACATGAACCTGCATAGAGATGAAGCCAATCATGCATTCGAATTGGATTCATAAGGGCAAAAGGGTTTTGGGTGTAGGACCAATGGGTCTTTTCAGTGGTTCGAAGTGCTTGAAGTTTGTCCAATTAGGGTAGGCCCATGGGCACAAGTTGCTTCTTGGTGGCTTGTGCTTCTTGTCATGTGGTGTTCGATCAAAGCAATAGTTTGTTTGTTTCAGTTACTCCAAGACCAAACTAGGGCCAAAGTTTGGCCATTGGTTGGTACTTGAGTTGAGCCCATCAAAGCAGCCAAGTGCCCTAATAAAGGTGATCACATGATAGAGCTAAGTTTGTTCTTCACACAAACACTGGCGCATTTGAGTTTGTATTTTGTTTTCCAGGCATCACAATCTGGTTGAAAACTTGGACATGGCTTTAGAAGTGATTTGTCACCACACCATATATGGATATTTCTTTTGCATTCAAATCATGTTTACAATTAATACAAAAAAACGTCCTTTCAAACTTGATTTTTACCGATCGATGCATCAATTTGAGCCCGAAATTCGCAGGCAATGTTAGTGTACGGTAGGGGCAATATAATTTCATGATAAAGATGATAAGTTGTGTTAAAATCTAAACTTAGTTCAACTTTCTACTCAATGTGACCAATTATATTCTGCGATGCTTGAGTGAACATATATATACTTGTTTGAAAGGTAATGTGATGTATAAAGAGATTAGTTGGGGTTTGTATAAACTGATTCTAGCCAGATACATTGTGACATGTCTGGTAAATGGTCACTTCCCTTACTAAATGGATGTCAATCTCACTTTCTATGATGTGCCCTTTCCTGCTCTCCTACTCGGTATTACTAGTGCCTCCTCATCTTGATCAACCCATTGAATGATCATTATATACAACTATATATATATATATATATATGAAATGAATGACCTAAAATATAAGTTTAATTTTGAGCGATCTAAAATTACTCCTCAAGAAATGTTGCCATTAGCACGGCTAAATTTGGGAAAGTGGAGCTACATTACAATCAAGCAACATAGTTTTTCCATTTTCTATTCATGATCGCAAGTGAATAAAATCATGAGATTATAGTGGGGCTTGATGGCCAAGGCCTACCACGGCAAACATGTCTTGTGCCTCGTCGTGACTAAAGACAAACATAATGGAATGATAGTTGATCGTGGGAGAGAAACAATGAATATGAGACTTTGAGCTCAAGATTTCAATGTCTACATAAGACCAATTAACTCAACAACAAACAAATTATTCTAAACTCTACTACAATCTTCTTGAATTCTTGTTAACTCGAGCGACAAAGTGTTTTCTTGCAGATACCTCCTCCTTCATTGTTGGCAAGTGAAGATTTCAGGACTTGGAATTTTATGCTCCAAATAATTTGCATGCTAATTAAGTGTATCACCCCCATTAACCTTATTCTTTGCAAATGCAAAACCTAGAGTCCATGCAACAAGTTATACATATGCATGCATGACCTCTAGCTCTAGACATGAATTCAGCTGGACATGTTCTTCTGATATACATGTAGGACAATCTACACCGACTCCACTTTTACTTTATTAAAAAGAAGCAAAAACATCCCTTTGGCATTTTGAGCATGGCCTCTCACAAGGCCATGACTTTCATATGGCAATTAAAATGTCACACAATATTAACCGCAGTTTTCAACGTGAAAATATGAAAAAGACAATGCAATGGAAACCAATGTCGACACAATTAATTTGTCCATTGTTTTCTTCCTCATAAAGTATCCACGACCTTAATTTTCATATAATGCAATCATGGCAATTTCCAACACGATTCAAAACCCGCACGACTAAATTTTTAGGTCAATTTATCATGACCCGTTTAATAAACGGGTGGGTTTCAAATCAACTCACTAACCCGCTAAAATACCTATATAATTCATTTAAGAAAACGGGTCATGAAGAGTCAACCCGCTAGCACGTTTCTTTGTTCATTCCTCAATTTTCTTTTTTTTTTTAATGTCTTTTAGTTCCTACCACTTAGCGTGTCAACTCGATACACGACTCATAACCCGAACGAGAAATTAGTAGGTCAACCCGACATGACACGTTTATTAAACAAGTCGAATCTGAGTTTAGCATTCTTGACACATATATGATCCTAACACGACACAACCCATTGTCAGCCCTCATCTAATGAAATGTTCTGCTGAATTAACGTAGCTATAAGCTTATAATTACTTCATTTGAGTTGACAAAGTAATTAATGAATTATTTTTCCCAAAACTTGTTGTAGAAAATGGAAAATCGACATGGACACGGAAGGTATAAAATGGAAATATGACATGGATTATTGATGAGTTTAGAGGAAAGGGTGTGCAAGTGGAGAGAGGACTATCTCATTCTGGGTGGTGACAGCAAGAAAAGTGACATGAGAGTTTAATTTAGGGTTATATATGTGGCTGGCCTGCCCCCTAGGCCTTGTTGCGTGTGGCTTGCCACTGTTTTTGCCAGTTATAATATAATATAGCTGTAGCCTGTAGCCTGTAGCCACACCACATAAGATGTTTTTTGTTTGGTCGAAGCCACATAAGATGTTGATGTGGGATTTGTTTAACGTATGCGCAACTTGGTTGCTCCACAATCCTCGGGTCCAATTGCAAATGGAAAACCATCCAACAACACTTCCATTCAACTTGGGAGGCAATAACACAACTTATATGATCACCACTTTTCTACTGAAACTTTTGGTCAATTCATTGCATAAACCCCCCATGCAGGATATTAAATAATTGCACCATTTTCACCGACTGATTCACTCTAGGAAATGAGATGGGATTTTGACCCAAAGCATGCATTAGTATTGTCACGGGATGCATATTGTTCAGTCTGACAATATAAACATTTGTTTCGTAATATAAGTCATACGAAATAAAGCATTATCAATATCGATATATATTACGACTACTGGCCTATATATACATTGAATATTGGTGGATGCTTTTGAATTGAAGAGAGCAATAAAATAGCTCCCAGTGTAAGATTTTTGGTTCCCAGAATCCCAGATAGTCAGATACCACTGGTCTGGTTCATGCACCAGGACGAATAAAAACCTAATTGAGTAGACTAGTTATGCACAAGACAAGCAAGAAAGAAAAAGAAAAGTGGTTGGAGTGGAAATTTAGCAAACTGATCGAGAAGGCTAAGCACTTTTACGAAGAGAGGGTGGTGGAAAAGTAACATATATATGGTTAAAGAATAACGTACGAAACTCTAGAAATATATATATAGAATACGTGATTTGCTTGAACACACCTACAGACAGAGAATCTGGCAAATATATCGTTGGAATATTTTGTGTTGCAATCAGTAGTCCTCCTATAATAATTAATTTGAAAAGTTAATTAGACTAATTAGATTTGACAATTTGCAAAACAACATGAGAGTTTTCTTGATAAAGAC